GGGGGTGTGCTAAGCTCTAGCAAGTACTTCTGTGGCTGCCCTGCACAGGGGGCTTCTCTGTGCCCGCCCACCACCCGCGCGAGGGGGGCAGCTCTAGTATGCAGTTCTGGGGCCCGCTTTGTACCTGTGTTTTATGTTCTTAAATTATCTTCCTTGGATTTATAGCTTGCTGAACTTCTTTCTGGGCTCAGCTCCTCATCTTTGGCTTTATAGATTCTAATTCCAACCAGTTTTTCTTCCTCTGCTCAGGAGCCTCTGACCAGGGTTGCTACCAGTCAGCCATCTTCCCAGAATCCTCTAAACTCTTTTAGATATTAGAGGTTTCCATGTTTTGGCCTCTACGGTTCTTATTCCTCACTATGCTTCCTCTAGTAACCTAAAAGAAAACCTAAGACAAAAACTGCAAGCAAATTTAATAGAATTTAATTAAACAAATAATGAGTGAAAATTTGGACAGCCCCAGAACTATAATAGACTCAGAGTGACTCTAGGACTGTCACATGTACAGATAATATTTATGGACCAAAATAGGAAAGTGACATGGAAAATGGAAGTGGGGTACAAATGTACATTGGACTTTGAATAAAGCGTATTATCATCCATGATGGGGGTGGGCCTCATCCAATCACTTCAAGGTTTTAAGAAAACAAAGACAGACCTTCTCAGCGCAAGTTAGAATCCTGCCAGCAAATTGCAAATCCTCCTTGCCAGTCTGCACTGTCAGGTTTTGAACTTGCCATGCCGCTATAATCATATGAGCCAATTTCTTGACATCTCTGTCTCTCTCATGCATATATATGTAAATCTCTCTCATCTATCTATAGATATAAAGTCATCTATAGATAAGATGATTTTATATATATAAGAATGCATAGTGCCATAGTGCAATGCATCACTTACATGTAAAATCACTTGCATCCTTATATATAAATCTTTTTCTATATATCTATTTACATATATTTAGAGAGAGAGAGATAGATGTGCATATGTACATCTTATTGGTTGTTTTCCCTGGAGAATACTAGCTAATACATTGTTCACTGAGGTTATTTTGAAGATTAAATATGACAATATATTTAATCTTCACAGTGCCTGAAATATGGAACAGTGCTAGGTAAATGGTTAGAGTAAGAACTAGACCAAGAAGGGAAAATTCTGGAAATTGTGTAGCTATGCTTATATTCTTATGAAGAAAAAAAAAAAAGGTTGGAAAGGATGGATGAAATAGATTCACCCACATGCAGAATTAGGGGGAAGGTGGCAGCTAATATTGTTGAAGACAATGTCAAGGCAATTTTGATGAGTAGAATGAATTGAAGTGTTTCAGTTATCTTTCATTATCTAGTAAGTCATGAAAGACAATGTTCATAGAACACATATAAGGATAAATGGCATACTTATGCATATAGTGGGTTCGATTTTATTCTAAAAATTGTTTTCGCCTTCTCTTTTTTTTTCCAGATATGGATCAACTCATAAACAACTTGCAGGTCCAACTTAATTCAGAAGGTGGCTCAATGCAGGTATTCAAACAGGTCAGTTACCAGGAAAATGAGGTACTGATATTGGGACATAATAGTGTTGAGTATCTGGTAATCATTGCAGAGTTGAATTTAATTTTTCTTTCTAATAACATGTTTGAGGACAGAGAAGAGGCAAAGGAGGTTAGATTTCTAGAAAGTACCTGAAAGCCTTTGCATTGTGCACATTTGGTGAGGTCTTACCAAACACCTGCCCTCCTCCTGGTGTCCATTTCAAAACTCTTAAGAGTAAAATATAAATGACTTACCACAACAAATAAGTGAGGTGATGGTTATGTTAACCAGTTTGATATAAGCTTTCCATGTTGTATATTAAATAAGAACATTGTACCTCATAAACACAGTTATGATTTAATTTTAAAAAGCACCTGAATGCCTGAGTTTCATACTTAACTGGGAAATAGATTTGGTGTAAAAGAAACATAGCCTTTGGGGACAAGGGTATGGATACATGATTAGACCTTTGGTATAAAACAGCAACCATTTACCTAGCACCATTCCATATTTCAGGCACTGTGAAGATTAAATATATTGTCTTACTTAATCCCAAAATAACCCCAGTGAACAATGTATTAGCTAGTATTCTCCAGGGAAAACAACCAATAAGATGTACATATGTACATCTATCTCTCTCTCTCTAAATATATGTAAATAGATATATAGAAAAAGATTTATATATAAGGATGCAAGTGATTTTACATGTAAGTGATGCATTGCACTATGGCACTATGCATTCTTATATATATAAAATCATCTTATCTATAGATGACTTTATATCTATAGATAGATGAGAGAGATTTACATATATATGCATGAGAGAGACAGAGATGTCAAGAAATTGGCTCATATGATTATAGCGGCATGGCAAGTTCAAAACCTGACAGTGCAGACTGGCAAGGAGGATTTGCAATTTGCTGGCAGGATTCTATCTTGCTCTGAGAAGGTCTGTCTTTGTTTTCTTAAAACCTTGAAGTGATTGGATGAGGCCCACCCCCATTATGGATGATAATACACTTTATTCAAAGTCCAATGTTTTATTTATTTATTATTAAGTATTTTTTGAGATAGAGTCTCACTATGTCACCCTCAGTAGAGTGCTATGGCATCGCAGCTCACAGCAACCTCAAACTCTTGGGCTTAAGCAATTCTCTTGCCTCAGCCTCCCAAGGAGCTAGGATTATAGGTGCCCACCACAATGCTCAGCTGTTTTTTTTTCTTGAGACAGAGCCTCAAGCTATCCCCCTTGGTAGAGTGCTGTGGCATCACAGCTCACAGCAACCTCCAACTCCTGGGCTCAAGCAAGTCTCCTGCCTCAGCCTCCCAAGTAGCCGGGACCACAGGCACCTGCCACAAAACCCAGCTATTTTTTGGTTGCAGCCATCATTGTTGTTTTGGTGTGCCCAGGCTGGATTTGAACCCGCCACCTTAGGTGTATGTGGCTGGCGCCCTAGCCACTTGAGCCACAGGCACCAAGCTTGCTTGGCTATTTTTTGGTTGCAGTTGTCATTACAGTTTAGCTGGCCCAGGCCATGTTCTTTTTTGTTGTTGTTGTTGTTGTTGTTGTTGTTGTTGTTGTTCCCAGGCCATGTTCTAACCCACCAGCTTCAGTGTATGTACCCACCACCCTAAACACTGTGCTGTGGGTGTGAGCCTAAGTCCAATGTTTTAAATGTTAGTCCCATCCAGAAACATCCAGAATAATAGTTGGCCAAATATCTGGGCACCATAGCCCAAACAAGTCATCACACAAAATTAACCATCCATACTCTCAGTGTTCTTAATTTACAGAAAAGAAATCTGGACTTGGACATTCCAAGAGCAAAGATTCAAAGATTATCTGTTACAGACAAGCACTTAGTGCTAGAAATTGAATCATGTTGCTCAGGGTTGAGTTCTAAAATCAATGCAAGACTCAAATGCAGTCAAAATTTCCCTTGAAAATCCCTGTCTATAGAGTTGAGTATGCAGTTTTGTATAAATAGTACTTATCCTGTCTTCACCTATGTCACCAGCTCTGGGCTTCATTTATGAGTCACTTTTTAATTGTCTTCAATCATTAAATGTTTGGCCCATGGTACATAATTCAAATTGTTTAATCTACATATGCATATAAATGTTACTCCTTTGTACTGTTTTAATGTTATTAAAACAAATTTAATGTTTGTTTAACTTTCATATAGCTGTTGTCATTTAGGAACTATTTGAACATCAAAACTAGATAATTGTTGCAAAACATCTGCTGGTTGCCTGTACTTAGTCATAATTAATACCAAGAGGAAGCTGAATAAGTAGTGTTAGATAAAAGTCTATTGTACTTTTAATAAAAAATACTCAGTGAAATGTTACCAAGCATGCCTAGCTACCTTATTTTGAAATCTCACTGTGCCTAAGTACGAGTCTTAAAATGATTTTCTATGTAGAAGAAGAATACTGAATACTGAAGTTCCAGAATTTGAAGGTACTTTGAAATTGGTTCAATGTGTGGAAAATTTTGGGATAGTAGGTGATCTAAGCACTTATTTTGATTTTCTGATATTTCCAGGATGTCTTGCTTTTAATAAAGCTAAGGTGCTTGTGGTACATTGCCACAGAATACTGGCCATGCCACAGAGCACAACGGGTAGGAATTTGTGTTTTATAACTACACAAGTGTATTATCCTATGTAGAAAGAGAAGGAAAAGCGGATAGATTATTATCATTTGGGGGGGCAGGGCTGGATTTGAACCCACTACCTCCAGCATATGGGGCCAGTGCCCTACTCCTTTGAGCCACAAGAGCCTCCTATTGCCATTTTTTTAATCATAAAGATAGCTATATTCAAAATGTGGGAAAAAATGGACTATATTTCAGGATTCTTATTAAAATTCTTTTCATCATATTGAAAAGAGAATCCTTGGTGCACACAAGGGAAAATTCTTCACCTAATAAGCATATGTGGAATACTTATCTTCAGATAACAAAGCAAAGAACCATCAGGTCAACCTTCTGGGCCTCTCCTGAGTATGTTTTATTGAGGAAACATGTCTTCAGAAGATAGCATTCATACCCAGAAAATACTTGCTATAGACTAGATACATTTAGACATAATAAGGCACTTGAACGTGATATGTATAGAGGGAAATATGTGATGATGTATTTTGAGAAAGTTAGCACTAAAACACTAAAATCCAAACAACTGACCTTCCAACACTTCTTTCAAAGCCTTGTGATACTGGGAGGAGAGAAATAATGACTGAAGTTCTACTGCAGGCAGGGTTATTGTTAAGAACTGGCAAACCACAAGATAGGTTTAGTCTATAAAAGCACAACTCATAATGGCTTTTTGGAACAGGGCCTGTAACTTCATATCTCATAAAGGCAATAAGAATATAAATTTTTCTGTTTCTAGGCTTTCATCAGCCAGTTTCTATTTTGAGTATTTTTGCATAATATGATTCTCAGTAACATGAATAACCAGACCAAATACCAGGTAAACACATCACAGGCAGCAGGCAGCATCTTAGAAATAGTCTTTGTTTGGCAAAAGACAGTAAAATTTCCAACATAGTCTCAATTTTATGTTTAGGATTCAGAGCTACAGCTTTTTGAGGTTTCTGAGCCTAAAGCACAGAGTCCAGAAGTCCCTAAAACTTAGCCTAGACCCTTTGTTAATGTATATTTACAGATTGTATCTGTTTATACATCTGTACCCACAATCAAGATTCTTATGGAAAATATTACACCAAATTGTTTGGTTTTTATTTTTTTAATTAAATCATAGATGTGTACATTAGTACATTTATGGGGTACAATGTGCTGGTTTTATATACAATTTGAAACACTTACAACAAACTAGTTAACATAGCCTTCACTGCACATTCTTAATTATTGTGTTAAGATATTTATATTTGGGTGGCACCTGTGGCTCAGTGAGTAGGGCACCAGCCCCATATACCAACGGTGGCATTTTCTTTTTTTTTTGAGACAGAGCCTCAAGCTGTCTCCCTGGGTAGAGTGCCGTGGCATTACAGCTCACAGCAACCTCCAACTCCTGAGCTCAAGCGAGTCTCCTGCCTCCGCCTCCCAAGTAGCTGGGACTACAGGCGCCCGCCACAACACCCAGCTATTTTTTGGTTGCAGCCGCCATTGTTGTTTGGCAGGTCTGGGCTGGGGATTCGAACCCGCCACCTTAGGTGTACGTGGCTGGCGCCTTAGCCGGTTGAGCTATAGGCGCCGAGCCAAGGGTGGCATTTTCAAACCCAACCCTGGCCAAACCGTAACAAAAAATAGCCCAGCATTGTGGTGGGTACCTGTATTCCAGCTATTCAGGATGTTGAGGCAGGAGAATCGACTAAGCCCAGGAATTGAAGGTTGCTGTGAGCTGTGACACCATGGCACTCTACCGAGGGTGACAAAGTTAGACTGTCACAAAAAAAAAAAAAGACATTTATACTCTACACTTAATAGGTTTGACATGTACCCTTGTAAAATGCATCATAGGTATGGTCCCACCAATTGCCCTCCCTCCACCCAGCTTCCCACTTCCCTTCCCTCTTCTCTTCCCCCTTCATCATGGACTGTAGTTGAGTTATAGCTGTCATATGGAAGTGTGGGTGATTATATATATTTTTAATAATAGAGCTGAGTAGATTGGATAATTTTTATTCTATTCTTGAGATAATTTACTAAGAAGAATATGTTCTAGCACTATCCATGTAAATGTACAAGAGGTAAAGTCTCCAACTTTTTAAAGGCTGCATAATATTCCATGGTGTACATATACCACAATTTGTTAATTCATTCATGGGCTTATGGGCACTTGGGCTTCTTCCATCACTTGGAAATTATGAATTGGGTTGCAATAAGCATTCTGGTGCAAATATCTTTGTTATAAAGTGATTTTTGGTTTTCTAGATAGAGGAATTACAGGATCGAATGGCAGGTCTATTTTTAACTCCCTAAGTGATCACCAAACTTCTTTCAGAAAGGAATGTCTTAGTTTGCACTCCAACCA